GCACTTAGTAACATTTCCAACCAAGACATCTAGATCACCCCACAAACTCCAGCTAAGAAAAATAAAACAAGAAATGCATACTAAGCTACAATAAAGTATAGGCTTAGCCATCCTTCTCTTAAGGAAAAGGCATTCTTACGTATCCAGGGATTCCATAGTCCATAGTCCATATTATGACTACGAGCAGTCAAGCTCTCCAGCCATCCTGGCAACCACATAAGGGCTAAGAGCTATGCAGTCTGAAAACAGCATGTGAAATTCCCGTCACAGACACAGACATCAATTCAAAATGGATGCCAGTAAGACAATCTTATGACTACATAAACCATTCTAATAAACACAAAAATAACTTCAAAAACACATATCATTACAAAAATTGTCCGTCAGATGAGACAGGGTTAAAAACTAAAAAGTGTGAAATGTGAATGTAGAACAAAAGGCTTTCACCTAGAACTTGAAGGCAGCAGGAATATATAAAAGGGGAAAAGAGTCTCTACTGGATCTTTGTAATTTATTGTATTTCTTTTTACTCTGATATTCCTTCTCTTTCAGGATCAGGATTCAAATAATTTTGTGCTTCTTGTTCTCAGATAAGCGGAGAGAAACAAAGTTTTGCCCTGAATTGCATCTTGCCAAACACCTGCAAACCAATGTAAAGGAGGGACATTGGTGCACCGATAAATCGCACAAAAACACTGTGCCTGGAAAATGTTTTGTCCAACGGATGATGCTGACAGATCACAATAGTATCTATACTATACATGAGATGTCTAGGAAATGTTTTCCTTGGGATTCACATCCTGTGAACCACGATCGTTTAGGCTCAGGAGAGAAACCACATGAATGCCAAGAGCATGAAAAACATTGTGCTCAGCGTTCTGATATTATGAGACAACAGGCAGTTCACACAGGACATAAACCATGCAAATGCCAGGACTGTGGGAAAAGTTTTGCTTTCAATTCATGCTTAGCAAGGCATCAGAGGGTTCACACAGGAGAAAAACCATACAAATGCCAAGAGTGTGAGAAATGTTTTGCTGAGCTTTGCAATCTTCGAAAGCATGAGAGAACTCACACAGGTGAGAAACCATACAAATGCCAGGATTGTGAGAAACGTTTTCTCTATAATATACAGCATGTATGTCATAAAACAATCCACACAAGGGAAAAACCATATAGATGCAAGCAGTGTGGAAAATGTTTTGTTCAGAAGTCACAACGAGTGAGACATCAGGCAGTTCACACAGGAGAGACGCCATTCAAGTGCCATGAGTGTGGGAAATGTTTTGCTCAAAAAGCAGTTCTAGAGAACCACCAGAGAATCCACACAGGAGAGAAACCATACACGTGTGTGCAGTGTGGAAAATGTTTTATTCAGAAATCACAACTAGTGACACATCAGGCAATCCACACAGGTGAGAAGCCGTACAAATGCAAGGAATGTGGGAAATGTTTTGTTCAGAAGTCACAACTAGTGACACATCAGGTGGTCCACACAGGAGAGAAACCATTCAGGTGTCAGGAATGTGGGAAATGTTTTGCTCGAAAGGCAAACTTTGTGATCCACCAGAGAATCCATACAGGAGAGAAACCATTTAGTTGTGAGCAGTGTGGAAAATGTTTTGTTCATAAATCCCAGCTAGTGACACATCAGGTACTCCACACGGGAAAGAAACCATACAAGTGCAAAGAGTGCGAAAAATGTTTTGCTCAGATTTCAAACTTTCTTTACCATCAAAAAGTCCACACAGGAGAGAAACCATTCCAATGTCTGGAATGTGGGAAATGCTTCATTCGTAAATCAGAATTTGTCAGGCACCAGAAGGTGCATACAGGAGAAAAACCATACAAATGCCAGGAGTGTGGGAAATGTTTTGCTCAAAAAGCAGTTCTTGTAAGCCACGAGAGAATCCATACAGGGGAGAAACCATACAAGTGCCAGGACTGTGGGAGCTGTTTTGCTCAAAAGACAAACTTTGTGATCCATCAGAGAATCCACACAGGAGAGAAACCATACAAATGTACGGAATGTGGAAAATGTTTGGCTCAGAACTCACAACTAGTGACGCATCACGTGATTCACACAGGAGAGAAATTATACAAATGTAAGGAATGTGGGAAATGTTTTGCTCAGAATACATGCCTCGTCATCCACCAGAGAATCCACACAGGAGAAAAACCCTATGAATGTCAGGAGTGTGGAAAACATTTTCCTCGGAAAGCAGAAGTTGTCAGGCACCAGAAGGTTCACAAAGGACAGAAACCCTACAGATGCCAGTTCGATGTTTCACTCAGAAGTCATACCTCGTGACGCTTTACATAATTTGCATTGGGGGGGACTCTATTAATGCCAGCACAGCAGGAAACATTTTTCCTTTGAGTCCACAATTTATTATCCACCAGATGCCCAGACAAAACAAACAAAATTAGAAGTTAAAAAATCGTGATAGCTTAAAGAATGCTATGGTTGTGTATCACATTGAATACCATTATATAATGGAACTAACCATTGAAACTGGTATTCCTATTGTTAATTATTTGTGACAGTTGTTCTGTTGTTGTTTTGTTAATCCCTTTCTCCCTCTATGACTTTTGGTTTTGCTTCATTCTAATATGTCTGAAGAAGTGAATGTATCCACAACAGCTTGAAAGGTGACTTTAAGGTATTAAAGTTAGCCTTTAAGGTAGCACAACGTTATTGTTTTCCAATATTTATATCTGGATCTGGTTACACGGATTAATGTGGCTCTTTTGAAAATTGCCCACAAGAGACTCCACACAGGCGTGAAACCATACAAACGCCAAGATTGCGGGTCCGTGTAGGGAAGAAATAGTGAGAAGTTAGGAGGCACAAAGAAATATGTCACAGATCCACCATTCCATGTAAAATACCCAAAATGTACCATTTATGTAACCCTTCATCATCTTAGAGCTGCAGAGCTGAAAGCGATCATAGAGTCCAGCCCCTGTCAGGGAGGCATAGTGGGGGAATCAAACTCTCAACGTCTGGTTCCGCAGCCAGAAACCTAAGCCACAGTCAAATTGCAATACAAGTGAAGTTCTGTTTTGAAGTTCTGTTTTTTACGTTATTTATGTTAACATACCGAATACAGAAGCAACAATTTAAGTGGATGTATAAAAAAGAAGAAACAACAGCAAAAAGTGGGTACATACACTGCACACACATTTTACTCTCCTCACAGGTAAATTGCTTTGCTACGAACAGCCTCATGATGCAGTGGTTAAACTGCAGCACTGCAGTGAATACTCTGCCCATGACCTGAGTTCAGTCCTTGGCCCAGGTAGCTGGCTCGAGTACCCAGCTTGCTGGGTGGGGGTGCAATGTGTAGCCTGTATAATTAAATTGTAAACCGCCTGGGGAGTGCTTTAAGCACTATGGGGTAGTATATAAGCTGCATTTCTTTAATGGAAGAGATAAGAATTTTAATGATATGTAGACTGAACGCCCTGCATTTGGTGGCGGTGATGGGATGCGAGTGTCACATTTATGAGTGCTTTTCTTTTATGGAAGAGATAAGAATTGTAATGATATGTAGACTGAACACCCTGCATTTGGTGGCAGTGATGGGATGCGAGTGTCACATTTATGAGGTAGAGTCTCTCCAGCTGGATGCTAGAAACTTACTATTGTTTCATTTCTTTTTGAATGCCAATAATTATATTCCGATCTGACACAGGGAACCTCTCATTGCCAGGCTTAAGAGAGATTAATTTTCTGAAGTACAAGTTTACTTTTGCTGGGATGGATCATTTTGTAACACACAAGCTTTTCTGAATTTGCTGACTGGCTTAGGGAAAGTGGAAGTTGCATGTTTTATCAGATGAAAATATATTCTTATTCTGGCATTGTAATTAAACTATAATTTGTGTTTGTTTAGATTTAGTCTGGTTCCTGTATTGGTACCTTGTTTTTATGTGTCCTTTCTTTTTTTATATAAGTTTGGAAAAGCTCCAGGGGATTAATAAGTAATAAACAGCTATTTGAAGAATGCTGAAAGCTATGTGTTAATAGTTTTATTTAAGACTGTTTCTGCTTCAGTGCGTTTCCTGTAAAATTAGCATCTGTTGAGTGAAGGACTCTACAAACATTTTAGACAGCTGTGATAAAACAGAAAATTGACACATTAACTTATGTCTCTACTTTTGAGGAAGGGATATGTCAATATTCCTGTCAAATCAGTCTGAGAACGACAGATGCCCTTCCTTCAGGACGGTCGAGGAAAGCAAGTTTGGAAAAGCCATTCAAATAGGAGGAAGGAGATTTTTGTGCTCCTGTTAAAAACCCTATGGCAGCAACTGCTGCCAAAGGAAGGCGATTCATGCTCAGTTTTTTTTTTCTGAAGGGAGAAAACTGCCAGTTCTTTCGAGGGTTTGAAAGGAAGTCCATGTTATATACAGCGAATATCAACATCTTCATTCAATACCTATCTTTCTGGTGATGATAGGCTGTGACCTCGCAAGGTCAGACTGCACATTGCCACATGGATGAAGACTATCCTATAGTGCAGTGGCTCCCAGCATTCAGTCCCCAGAAGTTGTTGGACTGCAACTCCCAGAAGCCCTTGCCAGCACAGCTACTGGTGAAGGCTTCTGGGGGGTTGCAGTCCAAAAACATCTGGAGAGCTAAGGTTGGGAACCACTCACTGCTGCAGTGTTTATGTTTGGTTTTTCTCCTTCAGCGCCCTTGCCAGCTGGTCCATTTTTATAACTCTCCACTGTATTTCTTCACCGAAATCGATCCCCTTAGAAATACCTCACAAAAACAAATCCTTGCAATCTCCCATGGCAGAGAAAGTTTGCAACTCTAGGAATCCTGAAAGCTCCACATCCCCCAGTTCGAACCTGTGCGAGGCAGTGGCCCCTGGATGGCAAGGGGGGGGCTGGAGAAGGGTGTTTCCTCGCAGCCCCTGCAGTGAACCTGAGGAGGACCTTTCTGTGAAAGGGATAATGGGGGAAACAACACACATAGAAAAGCACACCTTAGAGTGGGCCTGGGAAGGGTGTGTGTGAAGTGTCTTGTATGGACTCAGATGCAGACTGGCTGGTTGGCTTGCAGGCTGGAAGCAAAAGGCCACCAAGGAATGGCCTATTCTTCGCGAATATATTAATGGCCTATTAACATGGCCTCTGAGGAAAAAGCCCTGAAGAAAGAAGTCCTTGCATGTTGCTAAATCAGTTGTAGGCCCAAGATTGAACTGGCAAACTCTGACCTCTGGGGAAAAAAATTATATATTTAATACAGATCTTTCCTGCCTCCACTTGGTGGCAGCCATCTTCTGTCCTTTTCCTTTCCTATTTTTTTTAAATAATTTCCCAGTCACATGTGGTTACATTTGGTTTTATTCTTTTAATAAGTTCCTACGCACCTTGGGACATATTTTTTTAGTGGAAAGGTGGGGTATAGATGGAATGAATTAATAAATGAAATCATTTGCTTTGAGTTTCCTGTCATTGTGACATTGTTGCAAAATTCTGTGTTGTAAACTGACCAGAGTGGGTAGTATATAAATTGACTGAGTGATTGGTTGGTTGGTTGATTGGTTGATTGACTGATTGATTGTGATGGGTGGAATCCACCAGGCTTAGTACAAAGGTTCCTAACACTGAAGACTCTTCAGTGCTCACCTCCATTGTGGTTGTACTGGAACATTTCTCATTTATAAATCTGATATAATGATGTGGCAGAGTTAGTACTTGTAAGGAAGTAGTAACCTAAGGTGCTGTGGAAAGGTGGAGGTACCATCTAAGTATTTTTGGACTGAGGCCCTTTGTTCTTCAGAAGGAAATCTTACTGAACATGCAAAAAGAGATGCTACACCATTTTGCAAAGCCAAGCTGACAATTCCTTGCCCCCAGAAATGTTTTGTGGAAATGGGATGCAGGTGGTTTAACTCGAGATATACCTCCCATGCTTTTACTTGGTATTATTGTCTCCTGATTACCTCTGCCATAATAAGAATGGAAGTATTTCCAGCTCATGCCCAGGCTTTTTTTGGCCCCAAAAACTGCCCTAAGAGATTTTAAGGAGGTATTTTGAAGAGAAGGAAGATTTTGGGAGGAAATAAATTAGGGAAACCACACAGAGTGAATGAAGGCCACCAACTAGAAGGGGCAGCAAAGGAGACAAATTTAATTAACACAATTAATTATAAACTACAAGCACCATTTTTGTGGGATGTGTGGAATCTAACAAACTTGTCTGGATAACTTAAAAGCTGCTTGATGGCTTTTGCTTATTCCTCGAAAATAAGAGTGGTCTTAACCGACCAGATAGGCGGGATATAAATTAAATAAA